TTGTATTAACATATTTAATATTCACAATGGTAATTGAAAGAAAAAGAGTAATAAAATATAGGGTGGAAGACAAAAATTAATTTTAAGGTTGGTATAATTTTATAGAATTCTTCCCCTCATGTCAGATTTTATTTCTTGATTATAATAGAAATGAAGACTTTTTTTTCTTGATGCTGTTCATAACATTAACATAAGAATAATTTTAGTGCTGATTAGCAATCTCAGTCATCATCCAAACCAATCCTTTCATTATAAAGATATGAAAACTGGGCAGATCAGTTTTTAGTAAACATTTTGGTTTATTTTTTGTTAAAGAATGATGAGCCATGGTTAATATACTACTGATTCAGCAGATGGGAATCTTTTTCTATATAAAATTCTGAGCTATAAAATTTCACTTTCCCTTCTGGAACTAATGTATATTTGACTCAGTTCCTCTCATTTTGATTATGAGAAAAGTTCTGTCATAGATATAGCTGATCAGACATAAGGAATCAGAAAATGTAAACTGCATCACTTAAAATATAATGCTTTATAAGTTAAAAACTTATCATGAAAGAAAGCTAGCACCACTATACTCTCTGACAGAAAGTCAAGAAATATTTAATTAACGAATACTCAAAAATAAATTACATGAAGCACTGCTTGAGGCCCATCCACTCCTTGGGATGGATATAGATGGATGGAGACATAACTGCTATCAGTAAATGGTGCATGGCATGATACTGTAATCACATACTATAAAGATATTTGTAAAAGTCTTATGAAACTTGATCGTCATGCATTTTAGGGAAGGTGCTGATAAATACATCATATAGTAATAGTATCCTCTTTATGAGAATCCTCAGGAGAAATTCCTCTAATAGCAAAGCACCTGTACTTTTCTCTTGAGAAATTAATTTGTCTTAAACTATAGACATTGCACAATGTGTAGATGATTACATGTCCTTTTACATACTGGCCACTTGAAAGCTTAAATTTGTGACCACCAGTATAGCAGTGTATTTACATTATTTAGTTTTCATTTAATGCTGGGTTCAATATTTTTATTCTTGCTCTCTTTTTGGGAATATATTGCTACATGTTAAATGTTCCAGCAGATCACTAATATCCTTTTGGAAACAAAGCAGATAAAGCAGGCAGATGAGCTGAGACTAAGACAGGAAGGTTGAATGGCAGGCAGGTAGGCAGAGGCAGGGTGCAGCAAAAGGACAGAAAACAGGCTTCACAAGTGGTGGTGGTGTGGCCACTCGGTCGAGTCTGACTCTCTGCAACCTGTGGACTGTGGCCCGCCGGGCTCCTCTGTCCACGGGATCCTCCAGGCAAGAGTACTGGGGTGGGTTGCCATGCCCTCCTCCAGGGGGATCTTCCCGACCCAAGGATCCAACCCATGTCTCCTGCCTTAGCAGGGAGATTCTTTACTGTTGAGTCACCTGAGAAGTGGAGACTAGAATTAAACACAATTACCTATAGTTTTTTTTTTTTTTCCTACCTACTTGCCAGGCATCCACAATGGATCCATATCTAAATAGCAACAGAATAAAAGCCTTCCAAGTCTCTCTCAGTGAATACTAATTCACATCAGCTATTCAGAAGTCAAATTAGGAGGAATAACAGAGATGACTGGCTGAGAGATATGTACCTAACTCACTTTTTGATGCTTTTAACTTTTGATAAGACCTAGGGAAAGCTATCACATAATCAGAGCCACCAGGATTCAGTTTCACTGACTTGTGTTTTGCTGTTATATACTTGGAATCTATTGTGTAATAATCATCACAATAATTAATCTTAAGGAATTCCCTTGAGTGTTACAAAATGTTGAGGAGGTTTTTCATGATACAATTTTACCTTCTTTACATCAGAAGTCACAAATTAGTGACCAATGAAGTGGTGCAACCAGAAAATATTTTAAAAATATCTTGCAATATTTGCCAACAGGTGTAATTAGAAAAATCCCCACATACGCAGACATACATCCTCATTTTAGGGACGCAGAGCTAATCTGTAGCTACAGCTACAAATTAGTGACCAATGAACTGGTCTAACCAGAAAATATTTTTAAAATATTTTGCAATATTTGCCAACAGGTATAATTAGAAAAATCCCCACATACACAGACATACATCCTCATTTTAGGGACGCAGAGCTACATTTTAGGGGCCAACACAGGCAGGAGCTGTTAGCATCTACTCCGATTAGGTTACAATTGTCCACAGTTGCTAGTACTTACGGGGTATAAATCTCATGCATTTACTTACATTACCTGGTAGTTACCAGTAGGTTTCTGCAGTTTTGGTCCTAGGTATAATGCCTGTTTGAGAAATGTATTTTAAAATGTGTTGACGAGGCAAAGTCTGTCTTCATAGCAGAGGGAGTGCTTCTTTTCTGGCAACAAGAGCCATATAACATCTTGCATTCACTGCTTAGAAGTGCTCTCACTACCAAGTGTGTAACCAACCATATACACTAGTATCATATATCTATTCCTTTTAAAATTTCATCATTGATTGTATATTAATTTTGTAATGATTTCTTAGAAAAAATATGTCAAATCCTTGCTGCAGAGTCAGTGTGTGCATATTCTTATAAGAGGAAACATTAAATAAATTTTAGTAGAGGATGACTCAAGTAAAAAAATGAAATGACAAAATACTGTGTTAATGGAATATTTTATTTGCAAATTAAATTAAGCCTTAAGCTACAAACATGTAATACTCATATGAAGAAAAATAAAATTTGACTTCAACTACTGTTCATAGAATGACTGTCACTACATATTGTTCTTACACGATATCTGAAAAACCAAGAACATAATTTTCAAGAATGTACTTTAAATAAATATAACAGCAGCAAATTTTCAAGGAAGAATTCAGCAATCAGATTTGCAGTTGACTTTTTACATGATGTCAGATTAGACTGCTCTATCATAATAGTAATAGCTTAATAGTCTGTCATATGGATAATATGGGTGATTAAAAAACATTATATAGAATGGTGGTCAATAAATATAAATTTAGTGTGCATATACTGAAAAAGTATGGCAGCTACTCTTAGGTGACTCTGTTCAAACATAAATTTCTAAAATGTATTGCATGTATTACAGCTGAATTTCCTTTAAAGTATTTTCTCTTTTGAATTTGGTATTTTTCAAGATCAGGATAAAGGTCACTTTAGATGCTTTAATCAAATTAACATGGTGATATATAGTGTTTTCAAATGGCTTTTGTAAAACTGACTCAAAAATACTTTTATCCTTAATTAACATATTTATTTTAAATGCTGTTAAGTAGCTGAAGACTGCCACTTTGTGTGGTTTATGACTGTTGTTCAGATTTTTAACCTATTCTTTTAAAAAGTCAAAAACACAAAAGCATGATGATACAATCATAAACTATAAATGAACTGTATATAGAATTATTGCTACCATGGTACATCATTCTTTTGTATAGTGAAATAATTATTTCAATGGGATAGACTCTAAAAGGCATTTTAACTTTATGGTTACATTTATGGTTATATAAATTCAGTATATAGGTACCTTAAATGAAGTTTAGAACATACAATATAAAAGGTGCTACAAGTTTTGAGCTTAACAAATTTTAGATATGTGACTACTTGCTTAGTAGGTCTTAAATTATCCTGTCTTTTGATGCATAAATAGTAATTGTAACAACAGCAGAATCTAGTCACATTGAAAACTGTTCTTGCCGTCACTGAGAGTTGGAATATAACAGCACTACGTCTGAGTACTCTGATTTGACTAAGGATGAATGTGTCTCTGTAAGTAAGCCAAAGTGGTACCTGAATTCTCCAGGACAGTAATCTTATATTAAGCATACAGTAATATTTAGCCTTTATGTGGATATATAACAATCAGTATACAATTTAAAGTACATTTTTTAAAAAAAGAAATAGCTGAGCCAAAAAATTCTTTTTGGTTCAATTTTTCATTTTGAAATTGTAAATATTTGTAAAAATAACTGAAATTTTGCTGGTAGTAAAAAAAAAAAATATTGCTTCTACACTAGGGGACATGAGTGTCCACCCTTAATTCAAAATTTAGGTAGGAACTTTTAAGGACTGCTTCCACATGTAAGCACTGTAGAGTTTATGAGCAGCCATGGTGTTTACATTTCCTAAGTCTGGTCAGTTTCAGTAAAGGTTTGGTCATGGCTCAGTCAGTAAAGAATCCACCTGCAATGCGGGAGGCCTGGGTTGGGAAGTTCCCCCGGAGGAGGGCACGGCAGCCCACTCCAGCGGTCCTGCCTGGAGAATCCCGTGGACAGAGGAGCCTGGTGGGCTGCAGGCCAGAGGGCCGCAGAGTCCAGCGTGACCGAGCGACTCCGCACAGCACAGCGACTGAGGGGGTTCTGCAGTGGTTTGCTACTTTGATGTTTTAAAGTGAAACTGAAAGTGTGAGCCACTTAGGCTCCTCTGTCCCTGCAATTCTCCAGACAAGAATACTGGAATGGGTTGCCGTTTCCTCCTCCAGGGGATCTCCCCAATCCAGGGATGAAACCTGTGTCTCCTGCATTACAGGCAGACTTTTTACCAACTGAGCTGGTTCAGGAAAGATCAGTTTCCTAAAGGATGTCAGAGCAATACGATTATGCCCAGAGAATAAAAAATAGGAAATTTTTAAATTTGGGAAATGGTTTTTTATTTTTCTGTGTATAACACAAATTCACAGATTTTAAAAGTATGTACAGTAAAAAGATGTCTTCTTTTTAAATGCTATATAGAGTGCTGACTGAATACTACTTTTTAACTGTTAATCAGAAATTAAACATTTCATAAATAAATAGTCATATCTTAGATACAATTTATTCTGTGCATGCTCTTATCAGATGAAAGTTAACTATTTTACACAACAAAATAGTCATTTTTAAATTGTACTTTTAAAACAAAAAATTAATATAGAACTGAGCTCAACATTAATAACAGCAGTTTTTTACAATATCAGTCCTTAAAAAGGGAGCAGTAAAAGAAAGATTTGGTTTTTATACAGTCAAAAAAATTAGCCTGATTAAACCTTAAAATAATAATTCATTTTGATCCAAGCATTATATATATTACACTACTTCTCCCTTTTAACAGTTCCTTTAGTTTACTGAATTAAATAAAAGCAAATAATTTTTGTGATTATACAATCTAAACTTGTTGTGAGTTAAATAGTAATGAATACCTGAGGAAGATTTTGAAAGCATTCTTCCCTAAGGATAACAAAATTATTAGAGATAATTCTTTCAAATAACTTTTTTTTTAAAAGAAAATAAACATATTCAAAGAATTATAAATTAGTAAACTACCTTTAGAGCTGACTCCAAACATTCTTCCCTTGAGAATTAACTTTCTGCAATGAACACAGAATCTATTTTATCTTAATTTTATATCTGACTGTTAGTGGCTGGTTGGGGTAGTGTGCTGGGAACCACAACAAAGCTCAGAGGCGAGTCCGCGATCCTAGATGATCTATATCGATAATGGGAGCAGGAGAAAATGGTGGTGTCTGTGCTGAGGATTTGCTGACTTTGTTTTATATACTTTCTCTTAACCTCAGAACTGTTTCATAAAACTGTCTGTTATTATGGGTTCAAGCATATAACATAAGCAAAGACAAAAATTCCTGTGTGGTAGATATCTAACTAAACTTTAATAAAATATAGTAAGTTATAAAAATTATTAGGTATGACATATTTAGAGTTTGTCCCTAAGAAAACATATAGTGGCAAACTGAGTGTAATAAAAACAAAAAAAAATCCACAGGTTATATCAGCATGAGTGTTCCTATGAAGGCGGTTAGTTATAATATTAGAGTGAGTTATTCTTGCAATTTCCTTTAGAAAGTGAATTTACTAATTACTATTGTACTAATTTCCCATGGTCTGAATATTCTGAGATATGGCAAATTCTCAAGTTATAAATCAGTTTAACATTAATCATGCCTCTTTTCAAAGACATGCTAGTTTGCTTTGAAAGCACTGCTTAAAAATAACTCATTAGACAATGACATTTATGACAAATTCCACTACTTGTTTCTGAATGAATGTCCTTCTTTTCTGACTAAGTGTATTCTGTATTGCTAACATTTAATAAATATCTAAAAAATACTCATGAAAGAGCATATATATTAGTTTTTTTTTCTATAGTTCAAGTTACAAATATTAACTAAAATAACAGAGTGTCTTTCATTCTCTAGCTTTTAAAGAGATTCATTTTTTTACAGATGGTCAATTTGTCACAATATGACAGCAGACCACAAGTCTTTAACCTATTAGGTAACATAAAAGCATAATGTTTTTAGATGGGGATATTATTATCCCACAATAATTTAAAGTCTTTTAAATAAAATATTTCCATTATTAAATGTTATATCTAATAAAAAGTCAAACTTAGGAATGAAATTTTATTTCCATATCCTTAAAATCTGAAATGCTAAGTAAATTTTCTCTATTAGCTTTAGTAAATACTAATAAGCTTAAAAACTTAAAAGGTGGCAATTCAATGTTAGTATCAACTTTTCTTAACAATTCATCTCTAATTAACATTAAATTTAAAAACATGAATAATAAGACAACAAGTTAAAGACTGACAAGATATCCTAAAAATAGTATTTTAGGCATTGTATTTCCATAATACTTGTAAATCAGCTATGTTTTTTCAATAACTGAGAAGCAATTCTTAACTTTTATGAAAAGCCTTTATAAGATTTTCCTTCTGAAGTCTGGAATTCATCATTACAAAGTAGAAACATTAGACATGTAAAATACCTAGCAAGGTTTAGGAAACCAGAAATTTGCATATGATGATATATATTGTGTTACAGAAAGCAGGCCTTATCTCAGTAAGGCTTAAGGCATATTTTCTTCTGAAGAATTACTGGAATGTTTTCCAGAGTCTGAATGCTAATAGGACAAAGTTGATTAGATTATTAAAAAATGAACCATGTATATTATCTTTTACATCTTTGTTCTTCAACAGACATATCAAATATATACAAAGTTCCATTTCTTTGGGCGCAGAATACTAGTAAGATTAACTGTGTGCTAACTACTCTTTGAAACACAAGCAATTGCCTATTGTGAAATAAAAACAGCTATAAAAGCAATACTTCAATTCCAGTCACAGATTCAGCAAATTTATGCCATAAGGAATATTATTTGCACAACTTTTTTCTCAGTGTCACACCGTGAAAGGTGGCAATGATATTACTATCCTTAACAATGTACAAATTATTTTTATTAGAGATAATGGTAACAGTACATATTGATTTTGACAGTTTTCTTCCCATAACTCAAAACAAAAGGAATGTACTGAAATTAGGTAATTTCTATAATTATTAAACTTAAATCAATCCATTAAGAAACAGGTTGTGCGCTAAGTTCCTGGTGATCTAATGCATAAATTGCTCTTTCCTTTCTGTATTTTTCAGACCACTTGCGAGTAAGCTCTAGATAAAGACTTGGTTTATGAGGCCGGTAATCCAGGTACACAATATTACTGGTTCTTTTGGGAACAGCTCTTTCAATCTGAGTTCCTTCATGCCATTCATTAAAAGAGGTGATGGAAATTATACTGGGATGGGCTTGGAGTGCAGCTCTCAGAGCAGTCTCATAATATTTCCCGTTGATTCGGTTACGAGTGTTCTGAGAGTTCCATGGTCGGATGCTGGTATCTATGTATCCTGGGCCCACACTTGGGATGAACATTAAGTTGAACTGATCACAAAAATATTTTATGTTAGCCCAGTTTTCAAAGGATGAGCCATAAGTAAAGCCATTTGTGGCAAAGTATGTGTAAATTCCATCAAAACCACCTCGAAGAATTCCATATCTATGCTTTTTATCTACTAGAAGTGCAATAAACAATGCATCATAAGGAGAGTTGCGAATGCTCTGAGACCCTGAGCTGGTTAACAGATTGGCCCATTTTTGAGATGCTGTGATATAGGAATCATAGATATAAAACATGGGAAGAGCATTGCCGTTCTTAGTCTTGTACCTGTAAAAGGCAGGATGATTTCCATATCTAGAATATAAACACATATGAAAATAAAATGAAAATTCATGACTTACTTACCACAGCCAATTATTTATGTACTGAAAATGAAGGTAATCAGTACAGTTTAAGTGTATTGTTCATCTTCTTTGTGGAATTAGCTATGTAAGTGTAATCATTAAAAATGCATTTTTAATTTTACACATTGGGAAATGAGATACTGGATACATTAAGACATTAACAAACAAGAAAGTAATTACTTATATTGAGGTTTAAAAATGATGACTAACACAATAAAAAATCCATTTTTCTATATGAAAATACTGCTTTTCTGTGTGTGTGTGTTCTCAGTGATACATGTCCCAACTGTTGCTGACATGTTTCTTTATAAGAGTATGGCATCTGTCACAGACTATTATCAGTAAACCCTTAAACAAAATGGAACTGTATTAATAAATTCTTTCCTTGTAAACATACTGAAACATAAATGAAAATAATAGATGTGAATCTACCATATCTAGCAGCAATTCACATTTCATATTCTGAACTTTTTAAAAAGACAACTTTACATTCATAAAATTTACCGAATAATTGTGTAAATTATTTTTACAAATATGTTACTAACAACTTTGTAACAATTTAAAATGTTAGATGACAAACATCATAGTCTAATATACACATAAGAGTAAAAACAGCAACCTGTAATTATTCATAGAGAAACTGAATTATAAGGACATTCAGAAATGTTTCTCAAAGTGACTGCAACATTCATTACAAAATTAAACTGATATTAATGTCATACTGTGCCATTCAAATCTCTCAAATATCATTTAAATATAACAATTAGAGGAGAGAAGAAACTCACTTGTCTATAATGTACTTGACATTTTGGTACATGTTTTTATCATCTCGATTCTTATATGGTTCAATATGAAAAGTGACCTAAAACAGAAAATATTGATAGAGAAAAAATTATGATGTAAAAATAAAGATGAAATCATATCCCGCATTTTTAATAAACTGACAACCTTAAGATGAATACCTTATTGAAGCTGACTTAGATAGTTGAGTAACAATGTCTTCATTACTACTGTACAGAAAAGTGACTCAGTTATACATGTATACATTCTTTTTTATGTTCGTATTCTTTTCCATGGTGTATCATGGGACACTGAAAATGGTTATTTGTGCTATACAGTAGGAGCTTGTTGATTATTCATTCTCTATATAAAAACTTACATATACTAACCCCCAACCTCCTAGTCCATCCCTCCCCACCCTAAAGGACCCAGCACTCTGTTCTCCATGTCTGTGATTCTGCTTCATAGACAGATTCGTGTCACGTTTTAGATTCCACATACAAGTGACAGCATGTGGTGTTGTCTCTTACTTCATTCTGTATGACAATCTCTAGGTCCATCCATGTGGCTGCAAATGGCATCATTTCATTCCTCTTTAATGGCTGAGAATATCCCATTGTGTCTATGTACCATACCTTCTTTATCCATTCATCTTTGATAAGACATTTAGGTTGCTTCCACGTCTTGGCTGTTGGGAACAGTGCTGCTATGAACACAAGGGTGCAAGTATCTTTTTGAATTATAGTTTTGTCTGGATATAAACCCAGGAGTGGAATTGCTAGGTAATATAATTACATTTTCAGTTTCCTGAGGAACCTCCATAGTGTTTTCCACAGTGGTTGCACTAAGTTACATTCCCACCAAGAGTGTAGGAGGGTTCCCTTTTCTCCACTCCTTCTCTAGCATTTGTTATTTGTAGACTTTTTACTGTTGGCCATCCTGACTTGTGTGAGGCGGCATTTCATTATAGTTTTCATTTATATTTCTCTAATAATTAGTAGGTTGAGTTTTCATTCGGCTACTGCCATCTGTATTTCTTCTTTGGAGAAATGTCTAATTTAGGTCTTTTGCCCATTTTTGGATTGGGTTGCTTGTTTTTCTGTTACTGAATTGTATGAGCTATTTATGTATTTTGGAAATTAGGCCCTTGTTGGTTGCTTCATTTGCAAACACGTTGGTTCTTCCATTCTTTAGGTTTCCTTTGCTATGCAAAAGCTTATAATCTGATTAGGTCCTACTGTTTGTTTTTATTTCTATTGCCTTGAGAGACTGACCCAAGAAAATACTGGTAAAATTTACATCAGAGAATGTTCTGCCTATGTTCTCTTCTAGGAGTTTTATGGCATCATGTCTTAAGTCTTTCAGCCGTTTTGAGTTTGTTTTTAGGTATGGTGTGAGGGTGTATTCTAACGTCATCGATTTACATGCAGCTTTCCAACTTTACCAGCAACACTTGCTGAAGAGATTCTTTTCCCACTGTATATACTTGCCTTCTTTGTCACAGATTGATAGTAGGTATGTGGGTTTATTTCTGGGCTCTATTGTGTTCCATTGATCCATGTTTATTTTTGTGCCAAAACCATGCTGTCTTGATAACTGTGGCTTTATAGTATTGCCTGAAGGGAGGGTTATGCCTCATGCTTTCTTCTTTTTCTTCAGGATTGCTTTGGCAGTTCTGGGTCTTTTATGGTTCCATATGAATTTTAGGATTATTTGTCCTACTTCTGTGAAAAATGTCATGGATAATTTAATAAGGATCACAATAAATCTGTAGATTGTTTTGGGTAGTATAGCCCTTTTAACAATATTACTTCTTCTAATCCTCGAGTATGGTATATCTTCCCATTTCTTTGAATTATCTTCAGTTTCCTTTATTAATGTTTTACAGTTCTCAGAGTATAAGTCTTTCTTGGCAAGGTAAGATGAATACTTACTGAACACAAAAGTTGCCAGAAAATTCTAACAAATAGTAATAATGTTTACTAAGTGCTTTCTCTTCTAAATAATGCTTTAAATATTTTATACTTTTTAACTTCAGTTAATTCTCACACCTCTATAAGGTAGTTACTAGTAGTATCTCTATATGAAGCAACCAAAGGTAAGGGAGGTTCAATGAGTCATCACCCTGCCAGCTGGAGGCAATATAAGCAATCTGAATTCAAAGCTCAAATGTCTGATCACTATGCAGTGGTCCATCCTATATGCATATTCCTTTCAAAGAATAAATAGGAATATATTCTATATTCAGATATATCTTTCTTTAAAAAAAGGAAAAACAAAGTATGATCTAGAAAAACCTATATTCTTTTTTCATGTGTGAACATTAAGTTTACATTTAAATGCAGTCAATAGCAAATGTCTTTAAATGACAGATTCTCCTGTACAATTAAAATAGCATTTTACAAAAGAATCTACATTTAATATGTACTATTCAGATAATTTATAACAAAATTACTTAAAAATCAAAAACATACTATACTGAACAATAATTTTCAGAATACTCATTATTGATGTGGTTTATACATCACTACCATGATAGTAGAAAGCAGAAACCAAAAATACTTTTAAAATACTGTGCACAGAAAGTTCAATTTTTCTAACCAAAAAAGATTATATATAAATCAAGAATAACTAATTTTGGCTACCAGAACCATTCTGTAGGTCATTTATTACTAGTGGAATAGACTGTCATTTAAAGAAAAGATCATGTGTACTATCTACTTAAGTTTGCAAAACAACTATGAGCACTTTCATTTTTATTACTAATTTTACTGACTTACCATTAAAAATCTTTATGGAAATCTAATAAACTTATTGATAATATTTTAATTTTAGAGTGGTTCCTATGAAACATGTATGGAATTAGAGACTTATGTGCTACTGCAATATAAAATGTCTTTGTTTTCAATTACCTTAATTAAAGTGAAATGTATTTTGCATTAATCAGTGCTACTAGTTTTCATAGAATTGATTTTAAAGTCAGACAACATTCAGTGTAACTCATTTCCCACTTTTAATAAAATTTCAGTAATATTATACAAAGAAAGGTTTTAGTAGTAACAAAATATATTCATTTCTGCAGTATACTCTAAGTACTGGTAGGGCAGACTTTGCAGGAGCTCTAGTATTTGCGTTTTAACTTCAATCAAAAGAAAATTGACAAGGATGTTTGTATTTTCATACTCTTACATAATGTAACCTTGGATAATCTCCCTTTAGATGCAAAATTTTCTAAGTAAGTTTCATTTTATATATAAAGGATACCATATTTAAACAAATATCCTACATTAAAATGAATCTGCTTGTAAAGCTGCAAACTATAAATAGCTTTCTTTCTATAAAATGGAAATCAATACATTTATAGTAATCCAAAAAGCTGTTATTGATATACAACACTTAATATTATCCTTCATATTTCTAACTCATTAATGGTAATGATATTTCTTTGTAGGTTTAATTAATAAAGTGATGTATCACCATTTCACTATTCTGTTTGGAAAAAAACAGAATTATTAAACCAATACTACCACTTTAAAAATGACAGAAAAATCAGATGTTTGCAATATCTTTAGAAGGGGAAGTAAGAGTCATATAGATGTTTCCTCTATATATAGATATAGAGTATAGTGTATAGATGTTTCCTCATTTCATGCTTCTAATTTTAACCATGCACCCAAAGTGAACCTCTTTAAGTGAAAACCTGATGGTCCTGGAGAGTGGGATTAGAAACATGATGGCATAAAATGTTCCTATTATTTATTCCCTTTTAAATCAACATGAGATTATTCATACATGAGCAAAAGTGCCTCCGTGGTGTTTTAGGACCTAGTGTCTTACGGCAAGGAACCCAGGAGTTGTCTCACCCACCACGAAGATGATAAGAGACAAACTTCTATTTGAGCTGGGAAACAGAGGAGTCAGCCAAACTGCCTAGACTTTGCTCCTGTCATGCAAAAACCGGGTCAGTGAAGACCCAGCCGGGCACTCACATATGAGACAGAACCTGCCGAAGTCTAATCCTCCCAGAGAGAGACTTCAGCACATAACTGGAGGCCAAAGGTAAGTAAAGAAGTAAACAGATACATGCTAGCCTGGTGGCAGTGGACAGACTTTCTTAGCATCAAGTGCTGCCCAAGGAAACACCGAGAGGGAAAAGCAATTGGTAAGAAAGTGCCTGGCTAAGCCAGCTGGACTGGAAGTCGCCGGAAAAATCCCTTCTCTCCGCCAGTACCGAGAGGACTAAGATATGACATTTATAACTAGGGAAGGGAGGATACTAGGAAAGACGCGAAGAAGCACTTCAGTTGGTGGGAAAGGGATTGTTCTCAGCAGCAGTCCACGTAGGAGCCACCGGATCACCCTACCGGGTCTGCAGGCTCCCCAGTGCGCCCCGTGCTAAACTCACACGTCACTGCCCCTCTACCTGGCTCATGTGTGGGTTCCCAAGTGCCTGCCAAGAGGAAGCTCCGGAAGAGGCAGGGCGTGCTCAGAAACTACAAACCGGAGGTACAGCAACCTTTTAAAAAGCAAAAGAGAGGGCAGAAGAGTTTAAAAAGTCACTCAAAAGAGGAAACAGAGAAGACTAGAGCAGATACAAACTCACAAAGTAAAAACTCTAATATCAACACTGCAGTAACATACCATCTGCTGAAGGCAACAAGAAGAGACTTAAGAAGGTATCTGCTAATTCATATGCAAAAAGAAAAGTGCAAATCTAAAACAAATATGAAAAATCAAGGAAACATGGCATCACAGAAAAATTGTCTATTTTTAGCGGCCAAACTCAGAGGCACAGAATATTACAAACTATCTGATACAGTTGAAAACAGATGTTATGAAAAACTCAACAGGTTACAAGAAAACTCAAGATAATTCAATAAAATCATGAATAAAATATGTGAATAAACAATTCTTTATTAAAGAGAATGAAGTTTTCAAAAGAACCAAAAATTCTAGAACTAGATAGCATGCAGTACAGAGAATATTTAGCAGGGCAGAGAGCATGAAGACAGAATGACTGACTTGGAGGAGAGAAATTTTGAACTCACACAAAGGAGAAGAGAGAACTGAAAGAGAAAAAAGAGAAAAAGATCAAAGAAAGCC